AAAAAAAATGATGAGTTATTTGTAATAATGATGAAAACATTTGTTTAGTTAACAAAAATATATTGAATATCTAATATATGTGAAGCAAAATAACTAGAGGGACTTTGAGAGATGTCAATCAAGAAGAGATTCCTTTCTTTGAGAAGAGTTTATCTAATTGAGGGAAATGACATGCAAATAGGTAATCACAATACAACAGGGGATGAAGAGAAAATTGCCATCTTTTAGAAGAGGTTTAAAAAGGAGATCACACTTGATTTTGAATATGAAGCGTGAATAGGAGTTTAGCATGCAAAGAAAACCATGGAGAGTGTTCACATATTCTACATGTTCATTTCATTGCTTTTATGAAAAATGAAAACATATAAGATAGAGGAAATAAATACCAATGAGTTTTTTGAAAGTATCTGATTGTTAATCTGAATTTGATCTAAGAGTCAATACTTTGGGATTGACCAAGAGATAGAGAAAGGGAGATCTTGCTTTAGTTTCCCCAGCCTTTTTCTTTTCTGACTTTGTAAGAATGAAAGGTGGAGAAATAGAAATTTGTGAGGAGGTGATGCAAATGAGGTAGGTTTTCCTAGAGGCCTCAGAAAAGGGACCACTCCCACCGGTCCCAGTCTGACTGAACTGTCTCCTTTGTGCTTTTGTAGCAACATACAGCACCTACCAACTGTATTATAATTGCTTGTTTACATTCAACTATAAGCACCTTGGAGGCAAGGGCCAAGCCTATCAATGCTTCTTGTTGCATCCCTGGAACCAAGTGCGATGTTAACGGAGGAGTGAATGAATGATAGTATTGTACTTGATTAAATACCTGACACCTACATTATAGCACCATTTTAGTAGATATTTATTTCATTAATGTAAAACATATAGAGTGTAAATGTTCCCACCTTCTTCTTCTGCACTTCGTTTACCATGCCCAGCTTCCGAGGTATATCATAATGGACACCCTAGTCAAATGCTGAAATTGTGTTTATAACTAGCACTTTGCTTTCTTTTTTCTTTTGTCTTCCTCAACCTGTGAGATAGAACTTTACTTTCTTGTACTAATTCAGTAAATAAGACAATCTAAAAGAAAATACGTAGGTTTCCTTTATCTCGCCTTTAAAATCTAGAACTCTTAGCAAGACCTAACTATCTGGATTTCTACCTGTCTCTTCCCTTCTTCCTACTCTTCCTCCCATTTCTGCTTTCTTCCAAAAATATTTATTATGAGGCAGTGTGATCTTTTAAAAATGTAAATTGTATCATTTTACTGTATTATAAAAAACATAGTAAAGACAGTGAAAATAAAATTTGTGCTATTTGCCATAGCCTATAAATTCTATACTTTGGTCCTTGCCTATTTCTCTGACTTAAACCACTGTTTCCTTGCTTACTCAGGCAAGGAAACTTGTC